GCAAAGAAGAAAGTACTGGGTAAACAGACATTCTACTGCACGCTTTTGTTTTTTAACTATATATGTGGTGTGCAAATTAAAAGGAGGTGGAAAAGTCTATAGGGAAAGGCTACAGACTGAGACACAGTGTGTATTGTACTACTCTAACTGGTCTGTCTTTATGCAGTGAGAATGGATTTGAAGAAGGTCTGAGTCTTCTGGGACTAGTGTCTGGGCTCTTCAATGCCATGTGGTCCCTTGGGTAAGTGTACCCCGTTTTGTAAGCTATGAAAGTTCAACTGTTCCACACTAGAGCCATATGGAAACCTGACTGTCACTGTGTTGACCTTGATTCAAAAGTTTCTTGCTTGACAGGTGCCTGGTAGGCATGTTAAAACAAAGCTTTTTACCCAACAGAAGGTAAAACTTTGTTTGGACAATGCTCTGAACTTGTCTTTCTTGAACATACTGCTCTGCCTTTCAAAAAACTGCAGTGATTAAAGTGGATGTTTGCTTGTACTTCTGTGTGGTCATTTTTATTTTCACTAACATATCTAATGCTTAATACAGAGAGATGTGGACCTTATTTTTTTACAAAGCTAAGTCCACCCAGATGGAGTGAGCTAGATGTCTGCTCCTGGCTAGTTCTGTTTTCCATTTTCCATGTTTACTCCTTTTGTCTGGGATAGCTTAGTGTAGAATCTTCTTCTTAAGCCACAGCAATTCTTTAAGGTCTTTGTTTGTATAGCAGAGTGCATCTATAACTCTATATAGTGTGTTTATAACTCAGGGTCATCACCCCAGAAATAAGTGAAAGGTGCTACTGGCTGAGTGACCCTTCAGAGCTGTCACTCAGTGGGAAGTGACAGAGTGCCCCTATTGACAGCCACTTACAGGAAATTTTTATCTGTCCTTGTAGTCCTTTGTGGCTGCAGGTATGTTTCAGTGGCACAGATTTTCACCATCTTTTTTTCCAAGATCCAGCTGTCTAGCAGTCTTGTTTATTTAGTTTAGGGTTCAGTACAGACAAAAGTATAAAGTTGATGCTGCTATCAAACCTGGTTTTAAAATGTAACTTGCTTCCAGGACGTCTGTGTAGTTTTACACAGTTTTGTCCCTTTCTGTTGTGAGAGACCACATAATGTAAGACCTTTCATAAAGAGACAGCAGCTGTATAACCTTTATAACCTGCGTTTTTAGACAGGCATGAAGGTGCAGGGCAGTTACACACAGCTCAACCTTGCAGTGACTGTGTCTGTCACATTGTGCCTGCTTATATTCATCAGACGTTTGTCTTGAAGTTTAGAAACTTTGTGTTTTGAGGGATGTGACTTTGAATTTCTCTTACGATAGAACTGATCAGCGTAGATGTTTTCTTAGAGCATGGTCCATAATGGGGTCTCTCTACTGAAAAAGACTGCGTTCGGCTTTCTGATGTGGATCCTATTTCCAGATGAGGAGGTGATTAGATTTATTGGAGCCTTGGAAATCAACAAATTCATGCTTATTGTGGATTTTAGGAAAGTTAGGTCTGTGGAAGAAAATCTCTGTTGTCCAAGGTCAGAGTCTGAAGAAGGTCACAAAACCCAATAAAACAGTTCTCTGAGAATATGGTATGTAATCAATCCTTTATGCTTGGGATGCCAATACCTGATTTTGATTTGATGCAGGGCATTTGTAGGTCCAGTTCTGGGAGGATTTCTAAATGAAGAGCTGGGTTTTGAGTGGGCCGCAGCCATCCAAGGAGGATGGCCACTGTTAAGTGTAAGTAATTACACATTTTTTTATATCTATTGCACTTATGAGCTATTGCATAAGGTGGTTATAATTGCTACAGTTGTAACTTGCTGTTTCCTCAAAGGGTCTTGCAACTGGAGTATTTTATATCATTGAGGCAACAAGGAAAAGGTATGCTGAAATATTTATTCTTTATTTTTCTTGCAATCATATAAAGCAAACCTTTGAAATCTGTGCTTTCATTTTTTCCTCACTACCAATCTAATAATGAATGATAAGTAATAAAACATTGCTTAGATAATTTGTCTGTATGATTTCCTGAATCCCTACTGGCCTAAATGGACAGCTAAATCAGGCAATGTCTATTCTATACAAGCAGCAGGACTGTGGCATTAATGAGCAAACCCTACTGATGGTTCCTCCAGAAGGATGTCTGTGATCTGGAATTGGTTGGATGGTCACAGCAGAGAGCAGTGGTCAATGGCTCAATGTCCAGACACAGACTAGTGACGAGTGGTGTCCCTCAGGGGTCTGCCTTGGGACCAGTACTGTTTACTATCCTCACCAACAACTAAAAGAAGGTAGATTCACACTAGATACGAGGAAAAAAAAATTTACAGTGAGAATTTACAGTGGGTAGTGAAACACTGGACCAGGTTGCCCAGAGTGGTAGTGGATGCCTCATCCCTGGAAACATTCAGGGATGTCCAGGGTGGACATGGCTCTGAGCAACTTGGTCTAGTTAAGATGTTCCTACCTATGGCAGGGTAGCTGGACTAGCTGTCCTTTATAGGTCCCTTTCAGTCTGAACCATTGTATGGTCATGGGAATGAACAATAAGTACATGGTTCTGTGCAGTAGTAGGGAACCAAAACCAGTGATCCATGTAGCTCTTTGCATGTAATACGCTTTTTTGCCTATTACATTATATATATGTATTATTATATATAGAAATATATATATTAATTATATATATGTCAATTATATATATATATATATATATTAATAATATATATACACACATTATATATAGAAATATCTGGAGAAGATAAAATCTGTGTTATCTCTCCTTTTCCTTATGCAAACAGTTCCAGTTCCAGCCTGCAAAATCCTCCTTGTGATAATGAAGAAAGGACTCATCTGATGGGCAATGAAATGTAGCCAGACATACTTTCAGTTCTCTGTTTGCTATTGTGGTTTAACCTACTATTGAGGTGACTGGCCTTAACAGTGCTTCATTATTCTGGAGCTGGGACATGATCCCTTAGTAAACAACCAGTTGTGGTTTAATTGTAGAGGCATTACTGTTTTGAAACACTAAACACTGCCTGCCTTTCTTTTGGAAGTTCTCCTAAATGATGAGTAACCCTCAGCTGTTAGCCTGTTTAATTGTGTTCCATGTACAGTGCACCACTGTATGTGAAAACGATATATTTTCAAATGTCTGGTTTCCATACTTCTGTATGCTGTGCATTATTCTTGGGTAATATTTTGCTACCATGATTTTCTGTACTTTTTTAAAGAAGTTCATGATCTTGTAAAAACAGAATTTGAAATTATAAAGGACTAAACACAATATTGTTTTCAATAAAGCAACTTTTTTCCTAAGTTTTGTAAATTTTCTTAGACAACAAGAGCCTAAAATACTTCTGTCTACCAGCACTTGTGTTATCTTGAGAATGCCTGAAAATGAGACACAAAAATAACATTTGCTATGTCTACACAGAAAAAACTGATCTTCAGTCTTGGGGGAGACTTGGCATCTGGTGTATATATTGATATACATACACAAAAGATAAATGCATGTTTATATTATATATGAAGACTCAGCTTGGTGATTGTGAGGATTTGTTTTGCTAATAAATGCTAGCTGCAATATTTGTACTAATTGCTTCTGCAACAGCAAACCTGTCACGAGTCTAGGGCTACTATGAGAAAAAAAACCCATTTCCTCACCTCTCCCAGATGCTCATCTAAAGATCTTCAAGAGGAATTGAGACAAGGACACTGCTGACAAACTCACACTAGACTTCCTGACCTTGGTTGTGGCAAGTCTTTTACTTTATCACTGAGCCCATAGCTGGCTTTTAGAAGAGGTTCTCTGTGGTGGCTTTTTTCCCATAAATAAGAAAAGTGGTCTGTCCTAGTGCTTTCCAGTCAGTTTTTTTTTTGTGAATAGTTCCTGGATTTTACATAGGAAATACTTCTTTCTCTGCCAGAGCTCTTTTGGACTAGAAAGAATAACTGCTGTGGTACTCAAATGAGTTGTGAAACTTCAGGGTACCAAAGGGCAAGCTTCCCCATGGAATATCTTGTAATAGATTTTTTTCCTTTTTGTATCCGATGTTAAAACTTTACTGAAACCAGGAATGTGCACCTCAACTTATTAGGAAATGCTGACCATGCGAGTGCTCGTGATGAGCCAGGTGAGAAGGGGCTGAGAGAACTAGAGTTGGATGCAAGATACAGATCTGTAGACATGAGGCTTATTTGGTGCAATTTGTTCACTTGCCTTGCTGTGTGCTGTTAGGACTTGAAAGGGGCCAGAATGTCAAAAAGAGCACGTCACTGAAATTACTGAGCTGCCCTGCAATGTGTGAACTTCACCACACCACCAGTAGAAACTAGACATGCTTAACCAACCCCTCTAACAGAGCAGTGAGGGCTTCTGTGAGAAGCTAAGCCACCGCCCTGGTTGGTGCTGTGCTTGTCTCATGCGGTGGCAGGTCTGAATATCAACCTGCCACTACTGACACGGCTGCAGAAGCCGTGATGGGCAGAGACTATGCCAGGTATAGCCGGACTGCAATTGGCTGGACCAGGGCAGCCCTGAGCAGGAGCCTTCGTGGCAGCACTGAGCTCGGTATCATCTGCTTGCCTGCTTTCCACAGCCATGCCTGCACCCTTAGGTTTGGGCAGTGCTGGTCTCTGCTGAGGTTTTCCAAAGTTGTTTTTCTGCTGGGACCCAGGCTTGCCTCAAGCTCTATCACTACAACCTGGCTGACTCACAAGTCTGGCAGGTGATGGATTTCTTTGGCTGCAGTACAGTGCTGACTTCCCTGCCGTGGTGCAAGGCAGAATTGCTCAATGCTGGCAGCTCTCTTGCCTTTTGATATTGTGAGACTTGCCAGGCAGGGTCATTGCACCTCTGGGTGTCAGCTTGCAGCCACCCTGGGGAATGAATTCCCAGGTTTCGTGCAAGACTTTCTCCTTTTAAAGCCCACTGTCTTTGACTACCTGGGACCTTGTTTTGGGTGACTTCAGCCTCCAGACATGAGGCTTCCTAAAACTTGTGCCTCTGCTGTGCTTTTGGTGCTCTCTGCTCTGGGAACCTGTGCCCTGGACACAGATGTTGCAGCTGTCTATGAACACAATGAGCAGAGGACACTGAAGTGCCAGTTTTTCCTGAGGAGTCCTTGATGCTGATGGAGAAAAATACCGTAATTTTTGAAGCAGCCATCAAGGAAGCAGCTAGAAAGGTATTGTGAGCTCATTAGTGACATTTGTTTGAGTAAACACTGACCATTTTTTATTGTCTTAATGGTGTTTGTATGTTGGTACCAGGGTGCCCATATCATTATGACTCCTGAAGACAGTATTTACAGATGGGTCTTCACAAGGAAAACAATATACCCTTATCTCGAGGATATTCCAGACCCACAGGGGGACTGGATTCTGTGTGCTCATCCTGGAAGATCCCACCCCTGTTATACATGGGGGAGCAGTCTGAAAGGAAAGACAGCTAGGGGTGGTTGTTGATAGTTTTGAATGTCTTGGAACAAGTTCTGTGAAATGAAGCCAAGTTAAGACATCATGTAGTTGCCATAAATAGCTTCAGACAACTTTATAATTTTTCACTGACATTTTTTCTCAGTGTAATTTTTTCTATTTTAGTTTGTATACCAGGAAAGCTGAGATTTATTGAATAGAAAAACAAATACACAGAATCTATGTTTCAGTAAGGAATTCTATGCATGTTGTAGAAGCTGTTTAAGATACAGAATTATTAGGAATATTTGTGAATAAAATAACATCTACTACTGAAAGAATATACTGTACAATATAAAATTTAGATTTTTGAATCATGCTATGGTAGCCTTTTAATTCTGTTATTTGCCTTAATAAATTGCACCATTTTTTGAAGCTGCAGTAAGCAGACAGGTGACAAAACACACTTTATAAGAAACAAGTCCTAAGTTACCTCAGCACACCAGCCACACAGAGGGCTGAAGCAGAGCGGCTGAGCTTAGCCCATGTGTGGGTGTAACTGCAGCGCTGTGCCACAGGCTGGCAGCAGAACGGAGACTTGAAAGTGTGAAGATTTGCTTCCACTGCAAGGAAGCCCCTGAATTCCTCAGTTAATGTGAAGTGATGGGGGAGCATTTCAGCTGCTAAGCTCTGCTGTCTTCTGTCAAGTAACAGAAAACAACAGTCTCCTTGTAGATGACTAACTTAGATCTATCAGTCTGATGATCTGTAGTCTTAACATTAGGATTTTTTTTTTTAATTAAATGGTTTTGATGTTTTATTTATTTATTTATTTATATATTTCCTCCTGATTAGGTTTGCTCCCTCACCCGTGCTTGAAAGACTGAGCTGTCTGGCAAAGAATAACTCCATCTATATGGTTGCAAATATGGGAGAAAAGAAACCCTGTAGTTCCAGTGACCCGAGGTGCCTAAGTCATGGCCCCTATCAGTACAATACCAACGTAGTCTTTGACTCAGAAGGGAAACTGCTGCCTCGTTATCACAAGGTGAGAGAATTTTACAATGTTCAGGAAGTGCATGATTCTCAGGAGATTAAAGGTGTGAAACAGAAGCTGCTTCCTGGGCTTAAATGTATTTTTATATAGAATCATAACAGACCTATTGTTAGAGGGCAGGTGGAAACTATTGCCACTATTCTAAATTTAAAAGCAAGTAATTAAATGAGAAGTAAAGCTTAATAAACCCTCTATTTTTACTGCATCTCAATAGGAATAGACATATAAGATATTTAAACATTAACATCCTAAATAAGATCTTCTTAACTAAATACTAATCCCTTTTACTGATATAAATCAGAAGCAACAGATATTTTTGTTTAACTTCTCTTGGTGGTATGAGTTCTATTTGAAATTAACATATAGCACATTCACAAAACATATTCTGCATTACTTGTATTTATGTGAATGATTCAATGTTCATTTAACTCGAATAGTTTCATTTATTTTCTAATATTTTATTTTCTCCATTAATTTTTTTTCTTTTCCATGAGCAGTACAACCTTTTTGTGACAGAGAAACAGTTCAATTACCCCAAGGATCCAGGATTTGGGACTTCCAATACATCCTTTGGCCTCTTTGGCATTTTCACTTGAGCAGACATACTCTATCACGATCCAGCTGTGGTCTTGGCAAGCAGATTTCAGGTTGACACCATTCTGTTCCCAACTGTTTGGGTGAACACCCTTCCACTGGTTGTCACCCATCCCGTTTCACTCAGTGTGGGCCATGGGAATGGGTGTCAACTTCCTTTCAGCAAATATGCACAGCTCCACTTTACATATGACAGGTCAGAGGGCTCTAATTGATCCTTGTTTTCATGGGCAACATTTTTATCTGTGTAGTGCAGCTGACCTGAGCAGAAATTCCCATCAGCTTTAAGCATGCATATTCATGTCAACAGGACTAGGACAACTGTACAAGAACCTGTAATGTTCTTTATATAAAGGAAATAAAAATGTGCTATGTAAGAACTTGGAAATTCTTGAGTTGACTACAAGGCCTCTAGTCCTTGTTAAATAATCAGTCCTGGAAATTTATGAGTGTTAATCTTCTTCTTCTTACCGGTGTTTTATTGGTGTTTTGGCCATGTAAAGACCCAAACTTCATTTTCTCCACTAGATGGAACCCTAACTCTGAGAAATGTTATTGTGAGTTCTTCAAATAGTACTTCTGGGCTGGAGACCTTGGGTGTCACATTTTCTTTGTAGGCTTTGTTTTCACTGTATATTTTTCCTGAGCAGATGCTAGACGTCAAGCACAAATTTTATGTGCATATGTTTGCAGAATTGAGAGAAACTTACTGCTAAAATGTAGCTCTAAACTTTGCCATCCAAATAAAAGGAGATGTGAGCCATTCCTTTAGTTCTCAGTTGTTGATGACCCTATGCCTCTGGGCTTTAAAGATTTCTCTATTTATGTATAGCACTTCCATCAAGATGTGAATTTTGGTAGTACCTTTTCCTTTCAGAACTTTTTGACTGGACTGTGTTAGCACCCATTTTAATCAGAATTACTGATTTCTAATGCAGATAAACTCAAAAAAGAACATAAAACTTCAGCCACTTAAATCATATATATAATCAAAACACTAATCTTGTCATTTGCAATACATGAAACATCAGAGTTTGATCTACTTTCCATTGATGGCAAAAAATCATTAGGTTAAGACTGTAGTCTGTGAAAGCTCAATTTAGTTTCAAAACAGTCTGGTAAATGTTAGAATTAAATTTTGCACATATGTAATTAGTGACTACTACTGCTTAACTGTGCCATATATTTGCTTTCAGATTAGAAAATTTCTGCTGTTATGTGTTTGTAGGGAGTGGTATTTATGCCTCAGATGGTCCAAGAGCATATTACTACAATACTGAAATGGATAATGGTCACCTTTTGTGACAGAACTTAGTTCATGCCCACATCTTTCTCCTGACTATCCTGCTGCTGCTAACTAGACATTATATGCCAGCCAGATCAAACAGCTTCCATCAAACAAACTCTCTTTCAGTGGGGCTGTTTACCATGATCTCTTCTCCTTCACAGAACTCACTGAATCTGAGGGAAATTGAGCCATTTGGTAGTAAGACCTCTGTTGTCAAGATGGTAGAGAAGCAGCAAGATGAAATTTATGTCCTGGGTGCCTTTAATGGGCTACATGTTCTTGCAGGACAGTGTTATTTGCAGATAAGAGTTTTCTGCTCTTATTTGAACAGTGAGAATGCTACATTACTCTCTTTACAGTCTGTTTGCTTTTTTTTTTTTTTTTTAATTTGAGGCATTTAAGACAAGGCATTTTTAGATTTGTTTTCTTCATGATGTATTTTGACTTCATTTGGGATGTTAATCTCTTTTTCTGTGTTATAAATGATGGAAGAGTAGACCTTGGGTTGACCCTATGCTGTAACACCCTTGAAGGTGAGGTCACACAGCAGTTTTGGAGAGGACAGGACAAGATAAGTATGCTTCTCTGTGCTGATTGTACATCTGCAACACATCTTGTGGAAGTTGCCCTTCAGGTTTTGCAGGTTGTAGGTTTGTCAGAATTTATTGCTGAGGGGAGACCTTATTTCTTCCTGCAACTACCTGAAAGGAGGTTGTGGCAAGGTGGAGCTCAGGTCAATCACTTCTCCCATGACAGGACATGAGGAATTGGCCTCAGGTTGTGTCAGGGGAGGTTTATTATTAGAAAAAATATCTTCACTGAAAGGATTGCCAAGCATTGGAACAGGCTGCCCAGGGAAGTGGTTCAGTTACCATCCCTGAAGGTATTTAAAGAATGTGTAGATGCAGTGCTTAGGGACATGGTTTAGTGGTTGGTTTAGCAGTGCTGGGTCCAGTCACCCATTGTTGGACTTGAGGATCTTACAGGTCTTTTCTAACCTAAATGATTTTATTATCCTAAGCAGGTTTCTGTATATGTATATGTATATGTATATGTATATGTATATGTATATGTATATGTATATGTATATGTATATGTATATGTATATGTATATGTATATGTATATGAAAAGGATAGAAAAATATATGTCTCTCCCTGTCTTTATAGCGATGCTCTTGTCACAAGAGAGCTGTTTTCTGCTCAGTGGTTGTACCATAGTGCTGATGTGATTATCTACCATCTGGTTATCTAAAAAAGTAAGTCACCTACATATGGATATAACATTTGTATTCTGTATTTCTGTAATGCCAATTATTCACAAATAATGGTAATTAATACTAAGAATGGTAATTAATACTAATATTTCTAATTCTAGTGTAATTCCATTCCTCAGTTCGCCTCATCTAACAGCACAGGCACTGCACATTGATGTAGTAACTTGAGTTTGCAGCAAAAATCTACTCTGTTGTGTATGTGTTTTTACATGATAGCTTTGGTTGGCATAGGCTTGGCCTTAACACTGGGAGCAATAGAAAATAACTTTCTCTGACTTTAGTGGTGTAGGATTCAGTGGGTTGTGTCCCAATAAAAGGCAGTTTTTAATTATTTGAAACTTTTGTGGGAGTATTAGCAGCCATTTCCAGAACACTGTTGCCACCCCATTTCTGAACACACACTTTTGTACACAAGACATTACCAGAACCTTTGAAGATTCTAATTTCCTTTGAAAAAGAAAACAAGCCTCAAAACAATGTACCTACAAAAAACAGTTATTTGGCTCAGCATATTCTAATGTAATCATACATAGGTACTTCCTGAGGGTGGAGTCTATTTTAATCTTTCTGGACACATTTTTTGGATGTGGAAAATCTCCCTAGCACAGAACGGTTGATAACTGTTTGTATCACAAATGCTCAAAACAAGCAATTTCTCAGGAACATGCCTATCTTCCCATGGAATGGTTGCCTATGCCAGTGCAAGGAGAGTCGGGGCTATGTCACCGGTGTTGGGGGAGG